TGGCAGGAAAGTTGACATTTTAAACCTTAATAAAAAATTGATACAGGGCTTTAGAATATCGATACAGTATCCGGAAATGAAATATCGCAATATTTCCGTGTATCCTAAGATTGTTCCTGTCATTACTCAAATTAAGCCTGTAATAAATTTAAAACAAAAAGTAAGATAAGAAGAAATGGAAATTACTCTAAACGTCAGTTAGCTTCATTAATACTTATTTAAGAATTAAAAGGAGGGATTGTTGATTTAAGAAAACATTTTATTCTAAACTTTATGAAGTCCTCTAGAACACAATGAGCTCTGTGTAAAACACAGAGTTGTTTCCCAGCTGCTCATGAGCGGTGAGCCAAACCAAACCCAACCTCAGTAATGTTTTCACTTTACTGTCTGTCCTCCCTTCTCACTTATTTTACTCCTCAGTTCCTTCCTCCTCTCCACCTTTTTCCTGTTAAATTCTTTAGAATTGCCTACACGCCTTCTTTTTTCAGTATTTGGGTATTTTTCTTTGCCCCCCTCCTCCTCCCTGCCCTCCTTCTCTTACTCTTGATTTTCTTCTTCTTCAGCAGCAGACTGCTGTCCCAGCTATCTCTGTTCTAGAGTTGGTACGTTCTTCCTGTTAATGATGAGCTTCCTGTCCCGGCCCTCACATCACTTCCTGTTTTCTGTCTGAGCTGCCCACCTGTCCCATCTGTCTCTTCCCGCCCATCAGAACTGCTGCTGTTGTTTTCAGGGTTTGGAGTGAAACCGTGTGTGTGTGGTGGAGAGGCCATCCTGGGATGTTTGATGTCGTTTCTCTCTGTCCACTCAAAACGACTCCCTGGTGAAATGTTCTGTGTAAAAGTTTTTGAACCATTTTATTTAAACGTTCCCGTGCTTTCAGAGCGCCAAAGCTTTGTCCGAGGCGACGTTTTGAGTGAATATTGAGGTGGTGCCTGCATGAATGGCTGGTTTCTGGGTGCATGAAGGTCCTGCAGAGAGATGAGTGTTGTGCTGTTCCTTCATCTCTCCATCATATTTTCATCCTTCGATCTCAACAAGCTGAGCCTTTGTTCTTTCTTTAGCAGGTCTGTTCAACCACAAAAAGGCAGATCATTTGGTTTATCATTTACACGAACCGACCGAAACCAAAATATTTTATTGGATCGTTTAAATTTTCATTCTTGACTTTAAACCTGGACACAATTTTCTTATCATATTATATTAAAATTAAACTTATAAAGCCGATACTGTAATAAGAAAACAGTGGTTTAGTGGAAGCTTGCATGTTAAGGCTGTCTCACATAATGGCGCACTGCAATGCTAACAAATTAATCAAAGATTTAACTTTTTTTTACTAATTTAGACAGAAAAAATGTTTTATAAGTTGTCTAAAATGTTAGTATGACAGGGTCTTAAAGAATCAAAATTAAATGGACAAAAAACACAGTAGCCTGTGATTTTCAGGTTAAATGATACAGCCTTATCATCCACAGTCATACTGATTTTTAGTTATTTTTCCAATTAAAAATAAAAGCCATGATCCAGTTTGTATAAGTAGGTGGAGCTACAGATTACCAGTTTATTAATATTAACCTCCTGACCAGCAGAGTTGTGAATTGTTAATTCATTTWTAACAGGAGAGAGTAACTGGAGTGTGTAAAGTCAGTTGAAACATTAAGACAACCTGAGAAATTTTTCTGACAAGAATCCGTTCATGGAGCTTCAAAACATATTTGAAAATATTTCATCTAAATTCTTTTATAAATAATTTGAGCATTTATTTCCGCATTAAATACTCCAGTTTTTGCCTCAAACCATATATAATCTAATGAACATTTAAATCAATAGCTCAGTTTTTTACTGAGCCCGCGAGGGGACATGGGAGATTTTTTTTCTTTTTGCGTTCCCTCGCAAAGGTCCTTTAACACTTTGTGCTTGCCGGTTTATGACAAATTCACCTACTCACCATTAGTGAGTTAGCCTACTGCTTTAATTCATCTTCAGAATGAATATATCACACAGCCACGCATGGAAGTGTGTCATATGTCGATATTTTAACACAGTGCASCCACGCAACATCAGTGTCAATTTCACGAACTTGTGGCGACACATCCTGTTTTGGTAACTGGATATTTCAAAACAAAAGTCTGATTTAATTCAGTTCATATACAACAATTTTTTGCAAGGGAACGCAAGACAATATTGCGAGGTAACGCAAGACAATATTGCGAGGTAACGCAAGACAATATTGCGAGGTAACGCAAAA